CCTGCTGAAGACCACTGTGCGGGCAGGACATGGGTTCTGTTAGAAGACAGTTAGCGAGATGTTAATCCTTTTTTAAAAATTTTATTGAAGTATAGTTGATTTACAGTGTTGTGTTATTTACTGCCGAGTCACTGCTACAGCAAAGTGATTCAGTTATACACATATATACATTCTTTTTCATATTCTTTTCCACTGTGGTTTATCCCAGGATATTGAATGTAGTTCCCTGTGCTCTACTGTAGGACCTTGTTGTTTATCCATTCAGTATATAACAGTTTGCATCTGCTAACCCCAAACTCCCACTCCATCCCTCCCCTAACCCCCTCCCCCTTGGCAACCACAAGTCTGATCTCTATGTTTGTGAGTCTGGTTCTGTTTCGTAGATAAGTTCATTTGTGTCATATTTTAGATTCCACATATAGGTGATACCATATGGCATTTATCTTTCTCTGTCTGACTTACTTAGTGGGATGTTAATCTTGTAATAAAAGTGTCAGTGTCTCGGGATGAAGAACATGCTGCATCATGCACCCTCATGGTGCTTTGGGACTGTATTGCGGGAAAATAAACACTTACCAAAAGGGGGTGTTGTTTAATTCTCTTTTTCAGGTTGAAAATTGTCAACTTGGTGTTAAAAAACACTCATGCTGCAGAAGCCCTTGTAAAATTCTATGAAACTAAACTGTGTGAAGAGGAAGCAGTTACAGCTGACAAGAATAACATTGAGAATCTAATGAGTACTTTAAAGGTATGCGTTTCACTGCTGGCTATTTTTTAAGATTATCCTTTAAAAGTATTTCTCTAGCACTTGGCCCAGGTCTTCAGACATCAAGCATTAAATATCTGAACTTGAATACATTTCTGTCCATTCCATGTCCTGTCTCTGTAGTACCATGGCTTACTGTAAATAAGTGTGTTCATTCATTTTTAGTTTGAGGTGAGTTCTTTTCATTTGAAGTTTGGATCTTTTTGACGGTAGGTTTTTTCAGTCTGTTCATGTTGGCAGCAAGAGGAGTTGAAGCTAAAAAGTAAATTATTGGTGATAGATTCTCTTGTGGAAAGAGGCAGTTATTTTAAGAAATCAAGGTGAGTAGAGTAGTTAATCTAAGAAGGAAAAAGGCTGATAGTTAATACTCGTCTGTTTCTCTTCTTCCATTTATAAAGCCCTGAGTAAAGAAAGATATTGTAAACCAATTGTGAAAAGTTTTCTCAGTGATTTTTTTAATGCATGTGTTCATTTTTAAACAATGAGGTCAGTAGATATTTAAAAAACAAACAATGAAAAAGACTTACTGAGGTAGCAGACTTGCTTATGAAATATATTTTATTTTATTGATATGCAAATTTCGTTAGACTGAACTCTATAAAACTGTTGGTTTTTTTAGGTCAAAGTACAGTCAAATATTGGCAATTTTATAAGGTTCAAGCTAATGTAATATTTTGTATATGAAAGATATTCTTTCCATTGTCTGATTTTATAGCAGTCATTTGTAAATGAATGGTAAAATTAGGTGAATAATGTGTTTACACAATGAGCGGTTGATACGTTTTTGTAACTTTATAAATTGATGTATTTTAGCAATGGAGATCTGAAGTGGATGAAAAAAGAGAAGTCTTCCATGCACTGGAGGATGAGCTACAGAGAGCAAAGGCCATCAGTGATGAGATGTTTAAAACCTACAAGGAGCGTGACCTTGACTTTGACTGGCACAAAGAAAAAGCAGATCAGTTGGTTGAGAGGTGGCAGAATGTTCATGCTCAGATTGACAACAGGTTAGCACCCTTTTCATTCAGTTTTAGCTCAGATTTAATCTCTGTATTCTGGGTAAAGTCTAAATGTATTAGGCTTTTTACTTCCATATGTAATTCATTCCATAGAGTTAATTTCCATATGTAGTTAATTGTGTTAATTGCAAGAGCTCTGTCCAATTACATTTCTTTTTTATAGGGTGGCCTTTAGTAAGATATGTAACTTCCAAGTAAGTTATTTTTCTGTTCTGTGTTATTACAACTGTTTATGTACTCTGGCATTTATATAGTTAATCTGCTTGCCTTTTCTGAAGGAAAAAACAATGTATTCTCTAATTATTAGAGAATTCTCTAGTTATTACCACTGATAATATTAAAATAACCATGACTTAGTAAGAGGAGGGTGGGTCATTTCCTAGGGCCGGATGTAGCATCTATACTAGACAGGAAGCGTAAAGAAACTGAAATGTCCTAATGCTCATTTTAATCAAAGATACAAGAAAGTCAAAATCATTTGCCCACTGACTGAAATAAAAAAGTGAAAAGAAATGGGATGGTTTTGGGGGCTCATCTTAAAAGAAATGGAATAGTGTTCCTTCTCATTCATTTTTTATGTTTTTATTAATGCAACTAAAATGCATTTATTACATAGTGCCATTTGTGAGAAATAAATTATGTTTAAATATTTAGTATCTAATCTCTAAAATACATGATCTGTAGGTTTAATATAGTGGTTTTAAAATCATAGAAACTGGGGTGTTTAATCACAGCTCCTAGAAAGTACCCTCTGAGTCCATGTTGAACCATTCATTGCTACCATGTCATTTTTTCAGAAGTGAACTGCCATTGCTGCAAACTTTAGGTCTTCAAGACTTGCTGATTGATAATTATTATGGTTAACTTTCCAGTGTTCCTGCTTTTTAGCTCTAGTCTCTCGGGCTTGTCCCTAGAATAATCAGTACCGATAAATTGCGCAAGTCCTGGAGAAAAAGAATTTGTATTCAACCCAAGGCGGTGTAGGTGCCCTTGGAGATGGGCCTAGGATGCTGTGGCCTTGAATTCTCAACACACCCCTGTTGTTGTGCTTAGTGCATCTTTGGACAGTAATACTTTGTCCCTCCCTTTTTTTCTACACCTTCCACCTTCCTATTGGTTACTCTTGGAAACTGTGACTATTCCTTTGTTAACCTCTTAGGTTACGGGACTTGGAAGGCATTGGGAAGTTGCTGAAATACTACAAAGACACCTATCACCCTTTAGATGACTGGATCCAGCAAGTTGAAACTACTCAGAGAAAGATTCAGGAAAACCAGCCTGAAAACAGTAAAACCCTAGCCACACAATTGAATCAACAGAAGGTGTGTAAACACAGTTCCTTGTGCTAGGGTTTTGTCTGCATTTGGTCACTCAGACCTTGACCTTCCTTTCTCTTGTTAGTATGATAAGTCAGCAACTATTTCAAGGAAGGCAGGGAATAAATCACAAATGTTAAAAATTTGCACTCAAACCTACATCCATCCCTTATTTTGATTTAAGAAAGTTGCATGTTGGGACAGTTCAAGTTTCTAATGATCCTTTAATCGTAGGTATGGAAATCTCTTTGGTACTTTGCTGGCTGCAATAGTTTCATGGGATCCTAAATTAAAAAATAAAAATGGTTAGTCATAGAAAATTAAACAGCAACATGTGACCAAGAGTTAAATGCTTTGAGATTTTTGTTCCATCTTGAGGGGCCAGTAATTTCTAGCTCTCTTTAGATCAGGATTAGGTGGGGGATAAGGGTTTCAAGTCTACTTGTGGATAATTCCCATGGAGTTTAGTAATTTCTACTTTGGAAGCCTCATGAGGGGGTGTCACATAGTGGCTTAATCTTGAAAGCTTGGACTTTACCCATGAGGCAGATGACATTAAGTGCAGTGGGGTAGAGGGAATTCCCTGGCAATCCAGTGGTTAGGACTTGGTGCTTTCATTGCTGAGGGCACAGCTTCAATCCCTGGTTGGGAAACTAAGATCCCACAAGCCATGCGGTGCAGCCAAATAAATAAATAAATAAATAAATAAATAAAGGCTACAATTAAAAGAAAAAGTGCAGTTGAGTAGAGAGCTGTAGTCTTAAGTGATGTAGATATTTCTTAGTGCCTGAGATCTCAAGTTGTTGGATAGCATAGGGTTCCTTGTCCTTTTTCTCCTAACCTGTGTGTGCTTATAGATGCTGGTGTCTGAAATAGAAATGAAACAGAGCAAAATGGATGAGTGTCAGAAATACGCAGAACAGTACTCCACTGCGGTGAAGGTGAGAAGACGAGTTCCTTGCGTCAGATTTCATGTTCAGATATTCAGGGAGGTGCTTCTACAGTGCACATTTAAAGCCTTTGCAGGTCATTCAGTCTGTGTTAAAAAGTGAAACAGAGAATCTTCACTCTTTGTCAATTATCTGTTAATTCTTTATGAAAGTGTGAGTCATGTGATGATTCCTGGTTCTTTCATTCTCTCTCTGTGTCACACACGTGCACAGCCTGGCCACACCCCCATGTGCACCAGAATAAAATGTAGCTCTGTAATCCGCCTCTTACCACTTTGCTTCCCCTCTCCCCTCCTTGCTGGAGTGTTCCATGCAAGTATTGCTGGAGTACTCCATGGAAGTATTGCTGGAATATTCCATGGAAGAACGTCTACCTTGTGCTCTAAGTCACCACACCTCAGCTTCACACATCCAGATCTGCAGTCCCATTTCCTAACTAGAGGAGAGGGAGGCTGAAAATAACTGGCACGCTGTCCCTATATGTCTCCATGAACTCCTAAAGAGACTTAGGAACTTTCCTGGCCACCCTCAATGTTTCTGATTTTTATTACCACCTTGGAAACATGTCAGGATTGGATTGATTCTTGAAAATGTAGTTTTGCAATATTTTCTTGACTTATTCAGTGAAAGTAGATGCCCTTTCCCTGCATCAAATCACTATAGAATGAAGGGTTAGTGCTTTGCTTTAATTAATCTTACCATTTCCTTTATACAGGACTACGAATTACAAACTATGACCTACCGGGCTATGGTGGATTCACAACAAAAGTCTCCAGTGAAACGCCGGAGAATGCAGAGCTCGGCAGACCTCATCATTCAAGAGGTGATACCCGTCCAGAGATGGGGAGGGTGTAAAAGAGAGAAGCAACACTTTAGCGATTTTACATTTATACATTTGTATTGTGGTAAAATGTCCATAATAGAAAATTCACCATTTTAGCCATTTTTAAGCATACAATTCAGTGGCGTTCAGTACATTCGTAATGTTGTACAACCTTGAACACAATCCATTTCCAGAACATTCCATCATCCCAAACAGATGCTCTCTACCTATAACAATGGATCTTATTAAGGGTTTTAAAAAACTTTGAAAATCTTCATTCAAGATGAATGAATTGCAGAGAATAATAAATGTGTATCATGATTAAATTTAGAAGAGGATTGCCATCACTGTGGTTTGCACAGCAGTAATCTCGTTCCTACTCGGTTATCATTGCTGGGGAGTCGTGAACTTCCCTGTCCCATAGACTAGTTAATAATTATTACTCAGTGTTCATTCAGCTCATTTAGGGCAGCTGGAGATTCTGTTTTTATTTTTATTTTTCCTTACTTGCAGTTCATGGACCTGAGGACCCGGTATACAGCTCTGGTCACCCTCATGACACAATATATTAAATTTGCTGGGGACTCATTGAAGCGTCTGGAGGAGGAGGAGGTAAGCATTAACCATGGGCAGGTTACTGAAAAGGAGCCACGAGACGGTTTCATGATAAACTCACGTGGTTGAGAGCTGATGTATAAGTGATTAATTATAAAATTACAGTGAAAAACAGTAGAGGCGTAGGATTTTTTGGTTTGTTATTAAGATTCTCTCGAACTGAAAAACATTACAAAAAAAAGGAACAAGCTTTTCGGAAAAAAATTTTTTAATTTTTACTCTAGGGCTCTAGTATGAGAGCGTTAATGTCGTTAAGTGGTTCTATTTAAATTATGGAATGTTGGCAGTTTAGCAGAATGTTTTTCAGTTTTCTCACAGTTGAGAAGTATTGTTCTTTGAAGTATAGTTACTACTGTTATGATATCTGCAGAAATATTACATAGACACATTTGTTTTATGCATTTTAAATTAATTTACATCTTCAAGGATTTAAAACATGAAAGCCATTAAGTTAGAAGTAGCAGATGTTTATACAAAATGGTAGTACTTTTTAAGAATTGTGGGGGGGTTTATTTTGGTTTTGTTTTTAGCTTTGCCAAAAAGATATGGTGTATATTAAAAAGACTAAGTACCATTCTAATTTGGAGAACTTCAGTGCCTTTGATTATGCATTTAAAATATATTCAGAAACAGAGAAAGAATAAGGAGTTATTTATGGAAATATATTTTCATAAAAGGTTATTGTATCTAATTTTGAAAGTATGCTCTGCTCTATTATCTTAATGTGCTTTCTGTTCCTAACCACAGAACAGACAAAAATAGTAAACCAAATGCTGTAGTAAGTAAATTGTGGGGCATTAGCCATTTAAATTAGACCGTTGTTGAAATTCTGTAGGTGACTGTACTTAGTATAACTCCATTCATATAATGAGAGAACCAAAATGGTAGTAAATGTCTAATAGATGTTGCTTTCTTAGTTTCTAAAATTATGACCGCTTTTGTAAACTACTTTTGTCTGTTCAGATTTAATAGTTTTCGGCAACTAAATCACTAACATGGCTACTTGCAAGTCTTTATAACTAACTTCCTTTGAGCTTAGAAAGGAGAACCAGAATATTTTCACATTCAGATAATTGCCATACACTTCTCATCTATGAAGGAAAGTCCATGATTTTTTTACATTCTTAATTTTTAAGAGATATGATTCCATTTTAAATGGTATACAGATCTTTTAAATTGTGTATTTTGTAGTTAAATGTAATATAAATAATTTAAGCCCTTCCCTTTCTTACAATGTATGTCTGCACATATATGAGCCAATTTGCTCAATGTATCTGATGAAGTAGAATAGTAGAAGTTGATAGAACCAAAAGATATTTCAAAAAGCCTGAAATATATCCAAAATTATGCTTGTCATCCTTTGAAATATAAAAGATTATGTTGAATTTAAAGTCAAAACAATGTAGCTTATGGAAGACCATGCAAAGATTATTATAATTTAAAGCAGATTTTAAAATTCCTTGTTAAAAATTCACCACTTAAGGATATTAATAATGGAATATCTTACAAAAGATACATAGCTCAGTTTTCAGATTCCAAAGAGTAGTGTTTCTGAAACTGGGTCTATCTATAAAGACTCACATGAGAGATCTTGGTCAGAGAGCAGGATTTTCCATGATAAACATGAAATCAAAGAGGGATTCAAGTTAATTTCAAAGATAATACCAAATTAGTTACAGAAATATTAGTAGAGTGTCTGTAATACATAGGTGGATAAAGATATTTCTCTAGTCTTTGTTGATCGCAAAATATATTAAATGTTAATTGCTGAGATTAAAGGACAGCATATCTCCTTGGGGAGCATTTAGATAAAACTTGAAGTTATTTTTATTCGAATAAGTTTGAGATATACAAGAAAGCAAATCAGCAATAGGACTAAATTGTTTCTAGTAATTTTTCTAATATTTGCTAAAAAATTCAGAGTTATCCAGGCAACATGAGATTATTATCAGTCACTAAAATGACTCCAAAACACTGAGAGTTTAACAACAGACATTTTTTTCTGAGAGAATTTTCATTTTTTTAAACCTTAGAACATGACCAAGAAAAAAAGGGAGGGACTCAAAACTTCTGAGCAACAGCTAAGTTTTAAATAGAGTTTGATGAGGAATTAAGAAAGACCCTTTTAGAAATCGTCTGCTGAAAACATGTTGAACACCTAATGTGTAAGCAGATAAAATGCTTCAGTATCACTGAGAGTTGACCCTGATAAGAAAATAAAGAAAACAGAACACTAAATATTGCAGACTGTGATGAGATTTTTTTCATATGAATTCTTATTAAGAATCATATTTAGGTTAGCAAAGGAAACATCTAAAATTCTCATCAAGATTATTGGGGATCAAGAAATGAGAGGAAGAAAAATAAGATGCATGGTCTATAATACAAACCAAATTCTTGAGATTTACCAGGGCTTTTCAATGAAGATAAAATCTGCTATTTAGAATAATTGCCCTCCTTTTGTTTAAATTATTTCTAACTATGATGATTTTGAGCTGATGATATGACACTAATAACCTTATGGTATTAATAAAGAGAAATTAAGTTGTGATTATAAACTAGCCCCGATCATATTCTGTAGTCAAGTGTATTTCTCCCAGCTGAGATTGATTCTGTAATCAGTAGAGTAAACAAATTTTCTTAATTGGATCTGAATCCCTAAGTACACTTTTACAAGCATTTATATTTAACAAATATCTTTATGTTTATGGAGTATCTGAAGGTTCTTGTCAAAGTGGATTCATATGAGCCATGTCATTAAGGACAACAACAAAATCAGTGAGTATATGAAGCACATCTTTTCTAAAGCCACCAGGGACTATAGGTGCCTTTGCGTTAGCAATTCTGACTATTGTAAGTATCATAGTAGGGCAAATATAAATTAGTGAGGCATTTGATTGTAGAAATTACAGATTTTTATATAATTTTCCTCCCTTATGTTAAGTATTATTTCCTCAATTGGCTCTCTGTTCCAAAGTTCTGTGTCTTGCTTCTTTCACCATTAAGACAGGAGAATGTAAATATCATTTCAAATTTCCACTGGGCTAGAAAATGAAAACAATTCTCTAATGTCATTCAGCTCCTATACATTGTATGTTCTTCTCAGCCCATAGGACTGAGTTGTGTGTGAGAGCAGAAAGAGGACTGTTGTGAGAATTTTGGTTCCTACTTTGTCACTTGCCTATTGTGTGAGTTTTCAAAATTATTTAACCTCCCTAGACCTGTGTCCTCATCTGGGGTGAGGGTCATACTATAAGGTTCCTTCTTGCTGTAAAATTTTGAGCTAGCTAATTGTAAAAGCAGAATTATTCCTAAGAGACCAAAAAAAAAAAAAAAAAGAAAAAAGATTCCTTGATTTAGAAAACCTGACATGCAGGGTTTTTCGTCTTCTCCGACTACTGACTTTCTGAAGTTTCTTCTCTGCAGATGGTGGTGGGGTTGGTGGTGGGGTTTGTTCTGCCTTTGGTTTCACTGGTCTGCGTAAGTCCTTTCATGAGCATGGCTTCAGATTCTTAAAGACAGATTGGAGTCGAACGGGTTTGACCCTTCTGAACATCTCTCATAGATGAAAAGGTGTCAGGAGGCTTCTGAGCACGGGGTGTATTCAGATCTGCTCCAGCGGCAGGAGGCGACGATGCTGGAGAATCGCAAACTCACGGGGAAGATAACAGAGCTGGAGAGGATGCTGGCTGAGCTTGAGAAGCAGAAGTCCCGGGTTGAGGAGGAGCTTCCAAAGGTCAGGGAAGCAGCAGAGAACGAGCTGAGGAAGCAGCAGAGGGATGCAGCGGACATCACCCTGCAGAAAATGTGGGCGGAGGGCGAGGCCCAGAGGTACCGCCGGGAGCTGGAGGCCATCGAAGGGGAGAAGGAGGCGGCGCAGCGCGAGCTGGAGCGCGTGCGGAGGCTCACGGCTGAGGCTGAGGCCCAGAGGGAGGCCGTGGAGAGGAACCTGCGTGGCTTCCGGAAACAGCTGGAGGAGCACACCGCCACCAGGAGGGCCCTGGAGAACCACCTGAAGAGGAAGGACTCCAGCCTCCACGAGGTGGAGCAACAGAAAGATAAGCTGATGGAGGAACTAAGGAGAAAGAAGGACCACGAAGAGGAGCTCCTGAAGCTGGTTGAGCAGATGGAGAAAGACCTCACGTTCCAGAAAGAGGTGGCGGAGAAACAGCTGAAGGAAAAGCAGAAAATTGAATCGGAAGCCAGAAGAAAAATAACCGAGATGCAGTGTTCGTACAAAGAAAATACACTGCCAGCTTGTACAAGCACCCAGGCTGAGGAGCTGAAGCAGCAGGTGGATGAGCTGACAGTGGCCGATAGAAAGGCTGAGAAGGACATGAGGGAGCTGAAGTATGAACTCAGTGCCCTGCAGCTCAAGAAAACTTCATCAGAGGAGAAGGCTCACTTGCTCAGAGAAAAACTGGGTGAAACCAGCAATGCACTGAGATGCCTCAAGCTGGAGTTGGAAAGGAAGGACCAGGCGGAGGAGGGGTTCTCTCGGCAGCTCCGGGAGCTGGGCAGGCAGCTGAGCCAGACCACAGGGAAGGCAGAAGAGGTCAGGCAGGAGGCCAATGACCTTAAGAGGATAAAGCACAACTATGAGCTAGAACTGGAATCTCTGCAGGAGGAGAAAGGGAAGCTGCAGAGGGAGGTGGACCGGATCACCAGGACACAGGCCGTCACCAAGAGGAGCATCCAGCATTTAAATTCACAAGTTACTTCTTTGCAGGATGACGAGGACTTCTCTGGCGAAAGAGCGCGATCCTGCCAGAGAAAGTCAGATCACCTAAAAGAACAATTTGAGAAAAGCCACGCGCAGTTGCTTCAAAATATTCAAGCCGAAAAGGAGAATAATGAGAAAATCCAAAAGCTTAAAGAGGAATTGGAGAGAAGTAATGACTGTGCAGACACACTAAAGCACAAAGTGGATGAGCTCACCAGGCAGAATAACAAAACCAAGTTAATGATGGAGAGAATTCAGGCAGAATCGGCAAATG